CGCATATATGACCCTCAAATTGATATTGACAAGTCTTATATCATGTAACATGATCTAATAGGACAATAAACTATCTATCTATCTATCTATCTATCATACGGCTGTTTAAGTGGACAGGATCAGATGTATAGATATAGATCTACCCAAACCACGAAAAAATAAAGTTGTACGCATAGCTTTTCGTAGCCCAAAAATTATGTGAAAATCCGTGAAGGGGTTACATACATAACATTATACATCATACAAGATGAGTTTCTCAATTTTTTGGGCAGTTTCAAGAGCACATGTTCAACTATTTCTCAAAATTTCCAAAAAGGACACCCTGTATGTTTTTACATTGTTTTATTCCTGTTTTTGCAAGCTTTTAACTGACATAAGTTTTATGGGAGTTTGTGTGACTGGTTTTTGAGTTACAACTAACCTGTTTTGTAAATCAGATCTCAAAGTAAATCAAATATATTACAATATATTTCAAAACAAAAGACAGCGCTTAGTTGGTAACGGTAACGTCAAAAAATCAAGATGTGTCCCTCAACTCAAAAACCAGTCGAAGAAACTCCCGTAAACCTTATAACAGAAAAAAGCTTGTGAAAAGGGAGATCAGTGAATGTGAGAATATGCAGAATGTTCCGTTTGAAAATTTTAGGAGATTGACAACCTGGTACAAGATATCAAAAAAATCTGGAAAACTCGGTATGTGAGGGGAAATATGGGATCATAAAATTCCTCTGAACAAAAATTGTAAACTCTTGCTATAAGAATTGCGAAGGAGCGAATATGGAAAGTTGGTTATTTTTTTTTTAACTGATTATCGAATATCTCAACAATTTGAAAATAAAACCCTATAGTATGTGATATCGTTTAAAATGACCTATCGAAATCTGCAACAAAATGTAGGGCTTTCCATTTAAAAAACCCATGCCTTGTAGAGATAAAGATATTTTACGAGGAACTGTTGGCTACAATTTTTGTATTTACATTTTTTAGATACCATGCATAATATCGGAGCTATTGACTGAGCTCACAGTAAAAACTCATCCTGTAATTCATCTTTTGGCATTCAACTTAGCCACGTACAAAAGTAGTTCTTCGTAAAATCTTCCACATCATGTCAACTACCAAGTAATTAATTTTGAATCCAATTGTTCTCGACACCCTTCTAATATAAATGCGTCACCAAGCAGGGTATACAGAGCTGGTTATATTGAAAAACTTCTCTCATAAATGGTTTTAATCAGGCTGGGTAACGAAATAGAAACCCTTTTCAGTGGTGGACTGTTAATCGAGCAATGTAACAAAATTGCGCCGAGGTGTAACGTCCTAACCATCATCTGCCTTTCTTAAATAAGAGATGAATATAAAATTACCTTATTGAGTAGTTTGGTATCAAGACATACTAGGTGAGTTGGAAAATATCTGGACTTACATGCAGAAGCCATTGATATCAGAATACCTATTGCTTTGGGGTAGGGTAAGGCACCAGGACTCGACGAAAGACCAGATTAGACCGTGAGAGTGAAGGTTAAAGAGATACCCGAGATCGTGCTGGAAACCCATAGATAAGGAAGTCAAATATAGACCTCTGCGTATGCTGAGTGCACCTAGAAAGCTACTAGAACAACTGATAGAAGGTAACTAAGAAAATACGTCGAAAAAAAACGGACTGTGTCACTCACAATATGGATTGAGGGAGGGGAAGTCGACCATGGACACACATAGTTCAGAAGCAGCCGACAGCTACAGTCGTAATAAACTGGTGGTTGCCTTTGACGTTAAGAATGCCGGCACAATGGCAGAAAATCATTGGATCTCTCGAGAAGCACATTTAGCTATCTATTGAACATCATAAAGAGTTATTTTGATGAGAAGACGCTCATGGTATGACAAGAGACGATGGAGGTAACTTTTATCTGTTTTTATGCTTCAAGGAGTCCAGTTGGAGTGAATAAATTTACTGCAACCAAAACACATTTTACTGTTCAAAGTCTAGTTTATTACCTAACACTAAATTCATAACACTTGTTAACTAATTTATGATAATTTATAGCCATGTCAACTGGACGATAGCTTCCGCGTCGTTGACTGTCTCGACTGTGACACATCAGACGCTGTCCGTTGACTGCCTGCTTTCGCCGTCTGTTCGGTATTTATCTTCAATATATAATTTCCAGAAGTACGCTCCGCGTCTTCTTGCGAAATCGATCTTCGTGGAAGCCGTCTGAATGGCAGTAGATTCATCTCCAGACGTATCGAACATGAACGCTCCTGAACGATACCACGCTCGATGCACGCTCACGTAATGCTGGTTGCCTAAGCTTCGAGACTGCAAAGGCGTCCCATCGCCACTCAAGGTCGCAATTACAACGGCGTGACAGTATTTACAGGGATAAACTTATCTTTCCTCACGTGAAGCCCAATGTTTCCAATATGCATATCACGATTCGTTTCCTTTCCTTTCGACGAAAGATCGTAAATGAAGATGGTATACCTGTTTGCATGCCCTTTTCAATTTCCTGCAAGTTTTCGATGACGAATGAATATAAAGAAAGATAAAAAATCTGTAAGGCACATATTTTTAATTCTCATATGCAAAACGCTTTTGTAATCGATTCGCACTAAACCATTACTCGCAATTCGAGCCTTCATAATTAATCTTACAGTTAATGGAGTGGAAACTGAAGGGTTAGGGTTAAAAGGTGTTTGTGCATTTTTTATGGGCTTCCATAATTTCCAATTAATGTTAAGTGGCGGTTTGAGTGCTCTTACGGATTGCTCCATTCTGTTAGGCGTTCAAATACTGTATAAAAGGGTCCTGTCGAGGCTTTATTAGATTCCGAATATCATGTAAATTATAGATGGCCTTACCAGAAGGAGCATTTTTCGCTAATTAAATTTTGTTATTTGTTTCTGGATGTGTATAGACCATAGTCAGACATCTTTCAGTAAGTCGTACGATATATTTTTCCGAGCTGGAATTTAAGAGAATGGCATTAGTAAGCATGAACCCTACAGTTCAATGTAGCATTCTAGCATTGCCACAATATATCACAGATGTCAGAGAACAAACAGCGACTTAGGATGAATAAAATGATTCAGTAATTTGTGCAAAAACGGTATCAGAGTGAAGAATACTGGACATTTAGAGATAACAAGATATACACCCTAAATATAATTACAGGCATATTGAAATTGTTATACGTGTGGGTTATCAAAACAGGTGGATTATTTTAAATTTTGGTGCATCTGTGACATTCTTATTGCATTTGGAACAATGGTAAATGAAATCGATTGAAATGTATCGAACAAGCAGTAACAAAACAACAATTAATAATGTATTTTCTAAAGTTATCATTTTAAGTACATATAGTCAAAACTCATCAATTGTGGGAAAGAGCTACGCTATCTGATTAAGGCTAAGAAGTAGGGGTGCAAGGAATGACAATTTTTAGTCATCCGGGAATTCGAATGCGAATATTCAGCTTTTCTTCTCTATGCACTTGGAGGAAAGAAGACTGCGAAGCTTTCGCTTGTAAAGTTTGGTATTTCTCTAGTTCAGTTGGATTATTGTATTGCTGTTTAAAAAGGTAAGAAAAAAAGCTAATAAGTGGAAGTAGAAAAACATTTTCTTCGCACTTCTACAAATCTACTTGTACTTTTTATTTGCATCATTCATAATCAAAAATTAATAGATGAAGAAAATTGTTTTTATTTGAACGAAGTTGTTATTCCATAATTATTTACAGCTGTATTCGTTTTACATGGTTTATTACAGGTCCTTTTCACCAGAACCTCACGTGTAGCATTTATTTTGTTTACGTACAAAATCTGCCGACTTCAAATTGTGAGATTCTTAACTATGCTCACAATTATATTTTTGCGGCGATCTATGTCAGAAAACTACAAAAATGCTTACTCTTTAGTATAGCTCTATGATAAATTAGAAAAATTCAATTTTTATTCATCTATATTCTGATCAAGGACAGCTCAGCTGTTTGTTTTAGACTCTCAAGAGAGCCAGACGTCCACTAATTTGACAGCTATGTCGCGGTTTGTACTATCTCACTTCACTAACAAAACTTTCGGAACTTATGTTTCCTAATGAGAATTATCTGATTCTGAAGAAATGTAAGTCAAGATAAAGTTTTTGATTTTCCTTGTTTTATTGAAATAAGTGATAATATTTTAATACTCTCTTTTTCTGGTATTCATACTAGCAAAATATTCGCATGAGTTTCGCCAATAAGAATGCGAATTCAAAAAACATACTAAGATTCGAGATTGTGACTATTCATTACATTACTACTAAAAAATGCATTTCTCCACTGCAGCTTCCCACTCTCTACAAGCTCCAGATAAACATCAAGTACTGCTCACATGTTTGGAGTGCTACCGCCCAGACTGTATTATCCATGCTCGATGCTGTGGTGAATTTGCATATTTCCAGACGTTACTCATAAGAATGATGAATGCAAATTAAAGTGCTTATTTCATATTTCTGTTCACTATCAATATATCTAGTGATGTGTGATGGCCGTGATTAATGATGTGTAAGGTTACGTAGAAATCCACTGACACTGATGGAACGATCAGTAAATACTAGTGGCACGAACCACAAAAATTACTGCTCGTATGACATTCGCCTAAGACTTCATTTACGAATATGCATAAGAATATATATATATATATATATATATATATATATATACAGTGTTAATCTTCATATTCCAATCTGTTGTGGCAGTCAAGGTTTATCAATTGTGATGCGTGGCTTTTAGATCACATGGTTTTTTTAATTCTTCAACGATAGTATGAGGTTTCTTATGCTTTGCTATCATAAAAGCGATTTCAAATGAAGCTTTGAGATGCTGCGATACACCTATATATAACAAGTCATGGTTTTGTTTACATTTTCAGAAATGCGACTTCTACCTTCAAATTTAGCTTATTATCGTTATTTATAATTTTATTTTCACTATCACTGATTTATTTTCGCTTTTCAGGACAGTAATTATGTCAAGAAGACGTCTAATCGATACTGAAATAGCCAGACTTCTAGGAGAAATCACAGATGATCAAGCTGAGGATTCGGAGCTGGATGGTGATTCTGACGCAGAAGATTTTATTTCTAGACAACCACTGAATGATGGCATGAACCTGGCTTGCGAGGTTCGTTACGTCGGCGGTCTACGCGGTCGCAATGCAGGACAACAAAATTTGGCGGAGTATTCCGATGACGATTTTGAAGAAAATACTGACGATCCCGATTATTCAAACTCTCCTAAGCCTAGCCGAAAAATCCACAATACTTCGTCTGAGGAAAATTCTGGTGATGATTCTGGTGGCGGCGGGGATCCTAAGTTATACAGCACCTTGCACTTTTCAGAACCTGGTGCCGGGGCTAAAAATGATGTAGATATGAGCTCTCCTTTCAAAGTTCTTCAAACTTTCTGGACCCTTGACATTTTTACTTTTATTGTGACCCAGTCGAACCTGTATGCTACTCAAAACGGTGTAGATCTCAGCATGATTGTTGATGAATTGCGGGCTATGCTTGGAATGCTCATATTTATGGGATTCGATGTTCTACCGACCTTCCGATCTTATTGGAGTAAAGACGACAACTTTCACGTGGAGAGGATAGCTAGAGTGATGAGTCAAAAACGATTTTTGAAATTACTCCGTTATCTACATCTAAATGATAACCTCGAGATGTTACCGAGAACGGACCCTAATTACGACCGCCTGTTCAAAGTACGGCCCCTAATCACGCATTTTCCCAACGCCTTTCGGAACGCATTCCACCCTTCGCGATTTCTTTCAATAGACGAAAGTATGATCGGTTTCAAACGAACGATGGGCATAGTTTTACTGTAGCCGCTAGAGGGCGCTCTCTACTGCACCTGTAGTGTATTAAATTGACCGAAAATTTTTTCTTAGTGCAATTTTTTTGCTTTTGAATAAAAAACTGATTCTTCGCACTTTTCAACATAAAAAAGCTCTCTTGTGAATTTTCGTTATAGTTAGCCGTTTTTGAGATATTTCGATTTTTAAGGTTCGACGCATTTTTAATTATTTATGATAAAATAACGTTAAAAAGTCAGTATCTCGATAATTTTTAGAAGTAGGCTGTGCCTGCAAATATTTTTGAAATTGAAAGCAGAATAAGGTTAAACGTCAATTAGTTGACAGTTCGTTTTGTTGTTTGTTGAAACCTGAAACGTTTTTTTGCAATTGTGAATGCACGAAAATTAGTTTCTTTTACCTGTTTTTTTTTTGTAAGTTTTATAAAAATGCCATTTTTATTCTCCAATCAAGAGTTAGCGGATATTCATTTTGTGTATGGCTTTGTAAATGGAAACGCAGCAGAAGCAGCCAGATAATACGCACGAAGATTTCCAAATAGACGACATCCAACTCGCTCAGTATTTGTAAGAGTGCATCGCCAAACAATTGTAAATGGTTTTGGAAATCTCCAAAGGGATCAAAACATAAATGTTCGTCAGCGCAGATTTACACGTATGATTCTGCGTGAGTTTGATAGAGATCCGACCACAAGTGTTAGGAGAGTTTCTGGTGCCTTGGGAATTTCAGCAAGCCATGTTCACCGTGTTCTCAGAAATGACCATAGACGTCCTTACCATTTGCAGCCTGTGCAAGGACTACATCCAGTGGACGGAGAACGAAGAATCACATTTTATCAGTGGATTCTTGATAGAACTGATAATAATAGGGAGTTTTTAAGTAACGTTTTATGGACCGATGAGTCATGCTTCACTAGACGTGGAGTGGTAAATTTTCATAATCAACATATTTGGTCGCATGAAAATCCGCATGCAGTTCGGGAAAGAAATTTTCAGCATGAATTTAGTGTGAACGTGTGGATTGGTATCTACCGTAATCGACTATTTGGACCCTACCTTTTGCCTGCAAGGTTAAATGCTGCGACCTTCTTGGAATTTTTAAAGGCTGAAAATGCAAATATGTGGGATGATGTTATGTTAGATTTAAGAAGATTGGCCTGGTTCCAGCTTGATGGTTGTCCAGCTCATTATTCGAGAATAGTTAGAAACTGGCTGGACGAAAATTATCCAGAAAGATGGATCGGCCGTGGAGGACCAGTCGCGTGGCCTCCACGATCCCCTGACCTAAATCCATTAGATTTCTTTGTGTGGGGAATTCTAAAAGAAAAAGTGTACCAGACTCCCGTAACCACAAGAGATATGCTAATAGACAGAATCAGGAATGCATGTGATGAAATAAGGCCTTATTTGAATAATGCTATACCACCTTCGATCATTCGTAGATCTGAATTGTGTAATGAACAATTGGGTTTACATTTCGAGCAACTACTAACAAATTCCTAGCTATCCAATAGCATTTTAGTTGTAAATAATCAATTTAATTTGTTAAAAATAATATTGGAAAATTAAACAAATTAATATTCTGTTTTTTGTGTTTATTTGGAGTTAGGAATTATTGCTGTGTTTAAGAACACAATCTAAACGATTATCTTAATTACTTGTAATGCCCAAATCGAAAAAGTAAAAAAAATATTTTCCCATAAATAATTAAAAATGCATCGAACCTTAAAAATCGAAATATCTCAAAACGGCTAACTATAACGGAAATTCACAAGAGAGCTTTTTTATGTTGAAAAGTGCGAAGAATCATTTTTTTTTATTCAAAAAGCAAAAACTTGCACTAAGAAAAATTTTCGGCCATTTTAATACACTACAGGTACAGTAGAGAGCGCCCTCTAGCGGCTACAGTAAAACTATGCCCGTGGTTCGTTTTGTCGTACCAAAAAACCCTTGTATACCAATTTTCACTGTTATACATCAAATATTGTTCGAAATATTTAAAAAAAAAATATTTTAAAAAGTAAATTTAAACACCTTGTATTTCGGAAGCCACGCATTTTTCGACCCATGTTTATATAGACTTTATGCATTAATTTTAAAACTTCTATCGAATCTTAAAGTTATGCAACAATAAACTGAAACACGCTGTATAGAGGTCGCTCTACGGAAACAACCGATCTTGTGCTTGTCGAGCTTACCACTGTTGAAGCTCCTACTAAACGAGCGTCTCTTTGCGTGCGGTACCTTTAGGATAAACCGAAAATTCTACCCAAAAAATGAACTGAAATCCGAAAAGCAGATGACGACTCGGGATAGCGATTTTGTTCAATCGGGGGACATAAGCATTCGAAAGTGGCGAGATCGCGGCAAAAAGTCGGTTGTCGTTGTCAGCTCTATGCACAACCCTAGCAAGCAGAGATCAGTTCTTCGAACAAAAATGCGCGGTGAGAGGGAATCGGTGAATTGTCCCGAGTCTATCGCTGACTACAACACCTTCATGGGTGGAGTTGACAAATTCGATCAGCTTATGTCGACTTACTCGATTGCCCAGAAATCTCGTCGGTGGTGGTTGAAACTATTTTATTATTTCATCGATATGGCGATAGTAAATAGTTACGTCATGGACAAGGACTCGGCCAAAAAACAGCGTCGCCGTTATTTGTCTCACCTCGAGTTTCGCTCTCAATTGGTCAACGAAACGATCAGTAGTTTCTGCAGCAGAAAACGCAAGGGCTATTGTCCCGGAGCGGGAGTAGGCAGAAAAAACATCAACCAGCTGGTTACCCTACCGTCCAAAATGCAACTCGTTTGTCAAACGTCGGAGACCATATGCCCAAGCAGCAAGAGAAATATCGCAGATGCGCGCACTGCAGTACGAAGGCGAAAGAAAAGAGAAGCAACATGATTTGTACTGCTTGCAATGTTGCATTGTGCAAAGCATGTTTTGAACCTTTTCATTCTTCCAATGCAATTTAGTCGTGGTATTGAAGTTTCTGTTTTGTAAAGATAGACCTTTGTTTAGAAAAATTATATACAATTTCGTGAAATAAAGTATTTTTTACTTATGTGTTTTTAATTCTACATGCGTTCAGCGACAAATTAGGGGGTGGGAAAATAATCACCCACTGCCCGCAGCCAGATGTTTGTTCCCCTACATGGCAGTGGGATACTATTTTCCCACCCCTAAAACAGAACTTTCCGCTAGATATTTTTTTTGTGTTTTTTCTGAGTGAAAGTGTCCATTAGTTTTACGGTTTACTGTGCGTTTTTTCTTTCTAAAATGCAAACGCTTTCCGCCCCCCTTGACATCTCTCTATGCCCCCTGGTTGGCAACTCCTGGCTTATTTTATATTTCTGTAGACATTATCAATCTATCCACTGCTGTGTGAAGGCCGTGATTACTTATGTGTAAGGTTACGTAGATATCAACTGACACTGATGGAATTATCAGTAAATACTGGTGGCACGAACCACAGAAACTACTGCTCGTATGACATTCGCCTGAAGCGTCATTTAGGAATACCTATATTTTTATACACACTTCCTTTTTTTTGGCACTAGGACAGTGCGTCCCATTAGCCAGATCCAATCTTGTATTGCATATCTCTAATTATGGACAAACACACGACGTCACAACATCCATGGCGAAGGCGAGATTCGAACTCGCGGCCCGGCCGGCCGGCTGATCAGTAGCACGACACTGACCCACGCGGCCAACCGAGGTCCCTATACACACTGCATCTTCATATTCCAGTCTTGCTGCTGACAACGAATTATCAGTTTTGGTGAAAGTTCATGTTTAAGGTCATTACTCGAAAAGAATGCAATTTAAATGTACTTATTTCACATTTCTGTTGACACTATATCTATTACTGCTGTGTGGTGGCCGTGATTATTGATGTGTAAGGTTACGTAGAATGATCACCAAATACTGGTGATACGGACCACAGGAATTACTGATCGTGTGATGTTCGCCTTAGAGTTCATTTGTGAATATGTACCTATATTTTTATACGAACTGCAGCTTCATATCCGCCTGTCCAGGAATTATTATAATTCTGGTGTCAATGCTACTTGTGAAGATGAGTCAAAATGCTCAATGTACATTTCAAATCCTCCAAAGCGCTAAAAGACATTTCTCGTTCGACTTACCGTTAAACGTTCACCGAACAGACAGAGAACTTCAAAACGCTCGCAGCCAATCCAATTCCATGCCACATAAATAGAAGAATCCGTACCGCTCCAATATACGTGCCTGACAGTAATGTATAACTCATATATTTTATTATAGCACATATTGGAACGGCGCGAAATTATTTCACTTTGTCTTTTTGGATACATCCGCCGCCTTTCGTTATATTTCACGCGAATATTTTCAATTTTGTTCGCGTCTGATACCTCTAGGTATATGTAGGTTTCAAAATTGGGCTAGTGCTACTTGAGCATTCTCGCGGATAGTACAGTTTGTCTATTACTCAAACGATTGTATGAGTAATAGATGCTAATAAGAATTCCCACAAATTCCCTCTTTGAAGAAGTTAATAAATGTTAAGCACCAGATGTGCGAATATCTCATAATAAAATTCTTCATGAATACCAGTCTGTGTTCACGAAGGGATACATTACGGTGGCTGCACTGGCGCAGGTAACTGACGTCAAGCAATATGGTAATGGTACTTCTTCCGCGCTGGTACTGCCCGATTTTTCAAACACATTCGATACCACAGATGTATCAAATTATCATATTATGTTTTACCGGTTGTCTATCTTTTGAGAACGTCAGCAAGTAGTATCTGTAGATGATAAATTATCTAAACCATACTCGTCAGCTCCGGTGTGCCACAGGTGTACCATTCTTGGCTCCGTATTTCTTTTAGTGTATACGTCAGATATCCATTTTTCCATTTCTCATTTATCCATTGTTATGATGATGATGCTCAATTATTTAAGTCTTTCCCCCATCTAACATTTTACAAGCAGCTCAGGATATGAATGATGATCTCCATAAAATACTAATTTAATCTAATAATAATTAGAAATTAAATTCTTCTAAGTAATAGCCCTGAAAACCTAGCACAGGAACTGAATATCAGTATTGGTAGAGCTTCATTGCCCTTAGTGGGTACAGCAAAAATTTTAGTGTTGGTTTTAACAGTGTCCAACGCTTGAAGAGAGATGTTTCATTTACCCTGAAAAGGAGAGGGGCTATTATGAATTTTAAAACTATGGAAAAACTAAGTGAATCTTTTATATTTCCTATTTTTGCTTATTGTAATGCTGTTTACCTACTATCCTTGCCTAGATGCTGCCACTAACTATAGGTTACACAAGTTTCAAAATAGTTGTTGTAGATTTATTTATAACCTAAAAAAGTATGATTCAACTTCAGTAAAAATATTTGAGCTGAAATTGGTTATGCCTAGGAGACATGTATGCACGTGGTACCATGACAGACAAAATAGTAAATTCACAATTTCCTGCATACCTATACAGAAAATTGTTGTCTCGTCGACGAAAAGATGACGGTTTATTCGTACAGTGGTCAGTGACTTGTCGGTGACTGTGTCTGTGATCCAACCGTGTGAATTCCGTCTAGAGCAGAGCAGAGTGAACGGAGTTTGTGTGGCGGAATCTTAGATACGGTCACTGATAAGTTGGCGACTGCTGAACGAGTAGGGCTCAGGTTTGAAGAACGACTCGAAATTTAGGCCAAATTTTAAAAGGAAATCCCTTGAGTTTTTATTTTTTACTAATTTTTCTGGAGTTCTTTTTTATTCATCAGAATAAAGTCACCCTTTTCGAAAATATCACAAAATATCGCTAAAAGGTAAGTAAGTAATAATGCTAATAACAAAATGCTTATTTTTTGTTTAAATGCATGTTCACTATGGGAATATACGACAATTAATAGAAGCCGGATCAAATGTGTTCCTGTAGGTGATTTCACACAAATTTAAAGTTCTGCTGAACTTTTCCGTTCATGATGAAATCACCGACAGAGAAAATCAGGCCAGCACACAAACATTAAATAAAATTATTGAAAAACAAAAATGTTAAGGAATTTTAAGCCACTACTTTGTGTGTTTATTTCTACTGAAACACAGACACCGTTTCTCCTACTTCAAGTCCAATCTATCACTCTTACACTAATTTATAATTTTAAAGTGGCAATTAATTTATGACAAATGTATCACCAGGTCAACTGGAATATCACGTTCTGCGCTCTTGGTTACCCATCGCCCGCTGTGGACTGTGGACTGACTGCTTCCGCCATCTGGTCGGGTATTTAACTTCAATCGATAAATTCCAGAAGCCTTCTAGAGCGAGCGCGAACTTTGATCAAAGTTGTCTAGTTGACAGTAGATTCTTCCCGATGGGTATCGACGCACCCGATGTCGCTACTAGCGCTCACGCATTCTGACTGCATAACTGGTTGCCTAAACGTCGCCGTTACGAAGGTGCTTCACTGTTCCAGTTAGCTATGTCACATAACTGGTGCGGAAGCTTTTTAATACACCCTTAGAAGAAGAAAAATATTCAAGTAGCCAGCCATGCTGGGCTGGGTGTACTCACGTACATACATCAAGGCAGAAACACAATCTGTGTAAGAATGTGAGTCGCTCAGTTATTGTTAACAAAAAGGAACGGATGTAAATATTTAATAACGATACAGCATATGAACAATTCTGGCTTAGCTCATTATACTAAGAGGTTAGAAATTGTCTTCGCATAACAGCAGCAATGGAGGATCACCTTATATTGGAAATAATAGGACATCTTGCTTGAGCTCTACTCGATTTTTATAAAGTCGTTGAGATTCGAGCAAATTCTTGGGTCAAAGCAAATACCTAGATAAGCATAATATAAGAATGACTGTAGTTATATCATTGACAGTATATTCACCCAAAAAAAGATTTAGATCTGAGTTAACTAAATTAATATTCATAGACTTATTGAGGGTGTGTTGAGCTACTTCATCAGAATATCGTGACACTTAAAGGAAAATAACGCGAAAGTAGAGACTTTCTTAAGGACCTTCAGACCAAAAATAAAAGATGAGACTCACGTTTCTTGATCGGTCCTTATCAGTATCAACAAGTACTTGGGTATATCTCAAATTTTTTCAGTTGTTTAATGTTGTGTTAAACGTAAAATGTCAACAAACCTCAAATTGATACTGAACACTCAAAGAAAGGAGACACGAAACGAAATGAATCAAAATTACCTCACAACTTTCTAGGTAAAAGCCCAATGTTGCTCACGACGTCAATGTTCAATGTCAGTAATATGTGAATACTTACGGATAAACTTATAAACTATACTCCAACTACCACGAAGGCCTAAGGCCTAAACACCCATGGGGTACCATGGGGCTCTAGGTGGAAGGGGGAATGCCACATGGAATCAGGCGAGGGAACACGTGTGCATGTAACATGCACACATTCTGGCCCCGCCTACGAGATATGCCGGGTGGTACCTCTGCGTTCGACAGTCAGAGACCGTCTACCACCTACGGACAATCACAACATCCATAGCCAAGAGAAAAATTTCTCTTGGGACGGTATTCGAACCATCCCAGCGCACAACCGAAGAATCTACTACTGCGGCCATCGCTGCTGCCTTATACATCTTAAACTGCTAATACAATCCACAAAAAGCTTCACCATTTTCGGAAATTGTCTGCAATGCTAAGAGTGTACGGGAATCCAGTCACGTTTTTGCAGAAAAATACGAATTTAATGCGAAACAGTTACATAGCAATCAAATAATCAGTATAGACAGTAAATCGCGTTTCTCTTTTAAAAAAGAATGTGACCCAATTTTTTGCACCTTTCAGCTTCCGGTATATCTGCACAGAGGGCTGATGAAAATGCTTTGAATAGGGAAAAAGATCAAAGAGAAGCG